TCTGTGACAGTTGGACACAAATGTCACTTTAAACATTCTGCTTTGGTACCCTTCATGTACCCCTCCATCATAAATGGATTTTAAAAATAAGTTTTAAATCCGATCTTTGTAGCAACTATCATGAAAAATGTCTCAGGCATCAGGCAGCATGTTCATGACTATTTCATGTAATAACTTTCTGTGAGGGAGCTTTTAGAGGTGGACGTCTGGTTCCTATCACCACCACTGTTAACAATTCTGACTCAGTAAGTTTCTCCACAATGGAGCATTTCACACCAAACCCTGAACGACTCTGTTTACATCTTAACCATTTAATTATGCAGAAACTTTGAAAATTCTGTGGAATTCCCCTTTAATCAATGCCTTAAAATTGGCGTTCTGAACTTCACTTCAAACTTAAAGTTTGGTGGAGGAGGGATAATAGGCTGGGCTGTTTTTCAGGGTTTGGGCTCTCAGTTCCAGTGAAGGGTGATGTTGATGCTGCAGCACAAAGACATTTTACACAATTATATGATTCCAGCTTTGTGTCAGCAGTTTGGGGAAGAGCCTTTCCTGTTCCAGCATGACTGAGCCCCTGTGCACAAAGCAGCTCCATAAAGACATGGCTGGGTAAGTTTGGTGTAGAGGAACTCCAGTGGCCTGCACAGAGCCCTGACCTCAACCCCATTGAACACCTTTGAGATGAACTGGAACGCTGATTGTGAGCCAGGCCATCTCATCCAACATCAGTGTCTGACCTCACAAATGCTTTTTAGACTGAATGGACACTAATTCTCACAGACACACAGCTTTCCCTTTCCATAGTGGAGGCTGTTATAGCTGCAAAAGGGTGCAAATCCAAATTAATGCCAATGGTTTTGGAATGGAACACCCAACAAGTTCATATAGGTGTGATGGTCCACATACTTTTGGCCATATAATGTATAGTGAAAATTCTACATGCTGCAAATATGTAAAAAACACCTTGTGGATGACTTCATATAGCGAGGACAATGCAATGTATGAGAAAATACGAGCTGCTAATTTGGCTTCCTAGTGGAGTAACTAAATGTGTTGTGTGTTTTTGAGAGTTTCACCATGGAAAGCCATGCTTGAAGTCCTCATATTAGAATTACGTTACTGAAATGTCCAACAAAAACAATAAAAACAAAGAAATAGAAAAAAGTTAGAGAGAGGCCCACTGGCTTAATGTCTAAGACATTCATCTTTATAGGATTGCAGGTCTGAGGCTCATCTGGGCTGCTTTATGCATGAGAAGAAAAATAGCCCACTTATTTGATCAAAGTCATTGGCTTACATGAGGGAACAGGACCCCTGGAGATGTACCACCTGCAACGTGTAGCTAATACACTTATCTAACACACCTGCTGCAAGTTGATTAGGTGGGAGCTTTAGATTCAAGTTGGAGCCGGTAGGTCTCCAGGACTAGAATTTGGCAAAACCTGTGTGCATGACAAAATGTGTTATTTGTGCTCCAGTTAAACTGTCCAGAATCAAAAGGAGGATTTTAGCAAATGAACTTTGGCAAGAACACAAAAAAGCAAAGTTTATAGACAGAATTATTACAACTGGATGAGCACTGGATACTATCAGTATCTGCTGTGCACTACATAGTATCAGGTGCGCACCTAAAAGTATTGGGTGCTCACCTGAAAGTATCTGCTGCTCACATGATTTTTACCTATAGAATAAAAAACACCAGGGGCTCCGTAGCTGATTGACTACGTCAGATAAAGCAGTGGTTCAGTGACTTTTCTACTCCCCCCAGATGAAGTCAATCAGCTACGGTTGCCCACATCTGGGGGAGTGTTGATGTAACTCAGTGGTGGGCCACCCAGTGTCCTGTCTGGTGCTGAGTATCGGAATACGTTTATGATACTGACCGAATGACCTAAAGGGGAATGCCAACCATTTTTCCAAATTTTTGCAAAATGTAATCATCAAGACAAAGATAATAAAGTCATTCAGAGTGTTTAGATCTGAAATACTCCATTCTAGAGAAGCTGAATTGAAATTGTTTACTAGAATGTGCAGAAAATAAGTTACTTTCACAAAGAAAACCAACAAAACGCGTAGTTTAGACTGTTCAAACCTTTGCATATAACAGTAATCTTTTTGCAGTCCAATGACCAAGAAAACATCTGGAAGATTCCACAGGGAGGCGTTGCATCTTCTTAACTTTTCAGCCCCAGTTTAAACTGTTTTTGTCACCTGATTTGTCTCTGTATTGACATGTGAGATTCTTCCTCTTCTAAAAAGCTGAGATTCTTGAGTGAAAGTGAGGTTGGAGAGGAGGAGAGGAGGAGGAGGAGGATTGCACCACAACTGTCAGTCATTCACATGGCAGCAACAACAACAATAACAGCAACAACAACAGGCTAATTAATTTACGTATTGTCTTTGTAATGACTTTCATTTTCCTACCTCAGCCACCCCGTCAGCCTGCATTGTGTTTTCTGGCCCACACGCCCCCAATTAGGTTTTTTCCAATGTGCTCATTTATCAAAATGCTTATAACGTCAGTGTATTTTAAGCACTGTTTACTCACAAACTCATTATAGTTGAAGGTGGACTCGGAGGAAAAAAGGCTCCTTATGAACACTTGTTTTTAATACTCCTTGTTTCTACACTCATTGTCCATTTTATCAGCTCCACTTACAATATAGGTGCACTTTGTAGTTCTACAGTTACAGACTGTAGTCCATCTGTTTCTCTGATACTTTGTTAGCCCCCTTTTACCCTGTTCTTCAGTGGTCAGGACCCCCATGGACCCTCACAGAGCAGGTACTATTTGGGTGGTGGATCATTCTCAGCATTGCAGTAACACTGACGTGGTGTGGTGTGTTGTGCTGGTATGAGTGGATCAGACACAGTAGTGCTGCTGGAGTTTTTAAACACTGCGTCCACTCACTAGTCACTCCTACCTTGTCAGTCCACCTTGTAGATGTAAAGTCAGAGACGATAGCTCATCTGCTGCTGCACAGTTTGTGTTGATCATCCTCTAGTCCTTCATCAGTGGGCACAGGACGCTGCCCACAGGACGCTGTTGGCTGGATATTTTTGGTTGGTGGACTATTCTCAGTCCAGCAGTGACACTGAGGTGTTTAAAAACTCCAGCAGCACTGCTGTGTCTGATCCACTCAGACCAGCACAACACACACTAACACTAAACCATCACATCAGTGTTACAGCAGTGCTGAGAATGACCCACCACCCAAATAGTACCTGCTCTGTGAGGGTCCATGGGGGTACGTAAAACCTTCCTTTCTGCATCTTATCAGCGAAGGCCTGTAAGAGGTTCAAAATAAATGGGAATTCTAATATGTGGGTGATTCCAGACTCTGTTCTTCATTGTCATAACTGTGTAACTTTCATACGAGTTTCTTAGCAGTTTTTGCATAATTCATAGTAGCTTAGCTTTAAGATTAATAGCTAAATAACATTCCATTGTTTGTTTCTGGCCTTTTTTTAACCATATCCTCATTGTTATTAGCAAGACTGCAACAGTATATCCATCTTCTAATGACTTTCCTTCTGTTTCTGAATCAGTCGCAACCAGCAAATCTGCACACATCGGCAAGAAAATCGTTAGGCAAACTCTAGTTTTTAAAAACTTTATTCTTTGACCTGGTATAAATGAAGAACATCAGAACAAAATAATCTATGGTTTTACGGTCAGGCTTCTTGATGATGTTGAGTACTTTGTTGGAAAGCACCGTAAAGGGAAAGATAGATAGACAGATTGATAGAGAGACAGAGAGAGAGAGAGAGATGGCTATGACAGACACATATACACAAACGTCTGGAAACGGACAGCTGTATTTCTGCACTCTTGCAATGAACACAAGCCATTCAGTCAGTAGCAAATGAACAGAGATGGAGAAGAGTACACCGACATGCAGAGCGACACTGAGCCACGATATTAAACAGTTCTCTTTTTCGTCAGGTAAAAACCAAGAACAGCTCTTAGGAAAGTTGTTTTTTTGTCGTTTTTGTGTTCCCGTTAAATATAAATTATCTGAAGTATACAAAAAAAGAAGCATGTTATACATTTTTTTTCTTTATTAGAGTCACAGAACTCAGAACCCCCTCTGAAGTAGCCTACATCTGACTAACCTCCACCTCACTAGATAACGAGCTATCTATTATAAGGTACCAGTCCCACATGGCAATGGAAGAAAAGAGAACAGAAAGGTCAGCAGCAGATTAATTATATCGTTTCTAAATGCAGTCCATGGCCCCTCTACACAACGCGCCGTATTGCCCTTAAGCTGTGGACGGGAGCGGATGGAAAAATAGAAGCGATGGACTCGGAACGATGACCTAAAACCCTCAAAAAACTGGGAACCCAAACCTCCAAGTTCAAGCCCCTTCTACCTTCTACGCAACTTGCCGTATTAGCATGTAGCACGCTCGGAGATAGCGCTAATAAATATGTGATAAGTTAAGGCTTTTTTTGAGGACCTGAGGATCTTAAAACACGTGAACGAGGCACACACAAGGCGAAGAATAGCTCTGGACACGCTACGAATGGAACGGAGAAGCAGAGAATGAGTAACGATAGAGCCACGTGGACGTCTTCGGTGTTAGCGACAGGCCGAGGTCTGCTTAGCCAAGAGTCTTCACAGATAACAGGATCGGATCAGCGTTCCGCCATGTTTCCTTCGTCTTTCTGCCCATAAAGAAATGGATTCAGTGCAAGGGTTCACTCGGGGTGAACGTTTAGAAGTCCCGGCGACTCTCAATGTCATTTTTTTTTTTACAGCCGCTGCTAAAGGCTAATGCATCTCGCTTTTTTAAACGGTAAAGGATCGGGATACCTGCAATCCCCTACGAAACATTGTAAATGACATGCATCTACAAGAAGTCCTACACGCCCCTAGCTGGATCAGAACAACGAAGGCCAGTTGATCAGCTAGCATCAAACCCAAACACAAAAAACAGGATGAAAAGCTAGTTATGCCATACAAAATATGCATAAGACATATTCTAATATGTACTGTTCTTTTTGTAAATGTATTATCTGCTTTGGTAACAACGACTTTGAGTCCAGCGAACTGGCATCCTGTTCCGAACAGCCAGCTGAACCGCAAACCCCCTTTTATCATTCCGGTATGTTCTTTCATCAGGACCTGTCCTCCTGACCTTTTCCGTCTATAATATGAGCGGGTTTGATTAGGTGGTGGTTTCATTGATCCGTTTCGAGTCTCTTCTCTCAGAGTCTCCTCTTTTAACGAGAGAGCGTCTCGTCTAGAGCCGGGGCACCTGGACCGCGCTTTGTCATAAGGACGTCCGGGCTGTGAGGGACAGGGCTATTGTGCTGAGGGCGGAGAGAGTGGACACGCTGGAGGCAGATCCGATTGCGTTGGGACCTGGGGACGGACGGAGACAGAAAGAGCGTGAAAAGGACAAACAAACTTAAGGACAAACATGCTGAAGCTGACAGAAGTGAACGGAAGCTTAGCAGGTTTGGAGATTATCTTCGCATAGCATATGGTCGCTGTCGTAAAGGGGAATTCCACCCATTTTTCAAAATTTCCGCATAATTCAATGCTCTGTTCTAGAGACGCAGATTTCATTACAGCGGTGGTGATGGGAACCAGGGGTCACCATGATTATAAAACAAATATAGCCATTTTATTCACTATCCACACTGCAAAAAATGGTTAACTGGCAAGTAAAATGATCTTAAATCAAGTTGATGAATCTAATATTCCTCATTTCAAATCAAGTCAAGTCAAGTCAGGCTTTACATATGTACTATATATTATATAAGCTATATAAGTACACAGTAAAAGAAACAACATTCCTCCAGGACCAACACAGGAACACTGTGATTTAGATCTGACTTTGCATTTTTGCACATTTTACTTCACTTTAACATTGTTAGCTGCTAGAATTACTGTATTAACCGAATACTGTATACTGTATATTGCTGTTCTGGTTGCTACCTCAGTGACTGCTATGCTCATATATGCTAGTCTATCTGCTAAGCTGCTAATATGTCATAATATGTTCCATCCTCCTTTGAACAGCTCCACATACTCTCAGTACCGTGTGTTGCCTGTGTTCTGTTGTGTATTTATTGTAAGTCTTTTGTATTTATGTACTGTACTATATTGTCTGCACTGTGTTTATTGTATTGTCTTGCACTTGTTGGTCCTGGAGGAATGTTGTTTAGTTTCACTGTGTACTTCTATAGAGCTGGAACGACAATAAAGCCTGACTTGACTTGACACAAGTGACAAGAGACAATACAATATACACACTACAGACAATACAGTGCAATAAATACAAAAGACTTACAATAAATACACAACAGAACACAGGCAACACACGGTACTGAGAATATGTGGAGCTGTGCAAAGGAGGATGGAACATACTATGACATTTTAGCAGTTAGCCTAGCATATATGAGCATAGCAGTCACTGCGGTAGCAACCAGAACAGCAATATACAGTATACAGTATTTGGTTCATACAGTAATTCTAGCAGCTAACAATGTTAAAGTGAAGTAAAAATGTGCAAAAATGCATGTATTCAGATCTGCAGTCATATCATATGAAGTGTTTCAGTGAAATGCAGTAATTATATTTAAATACAGTTTTCCAGACATAATTTGGACCTGCAAGAAGTGGGGAGTGAGTTAGTCCCACATTGTTATGTATATGTGTGTGTGGGTCCATGTGGGTGTCCTTCAGTTCAGTCTGTGGGAGTTGAGGAATCTGATAAGATCATTTTAATCATTTTAAGATTATTGTGAGCTTATAATAAGATTACTTAATTTATTTCTAGACATTTTTTACTTGTTTTAAATAATTCAGTAAATTTATCTCACTATATTGGCAGATAATTATGCATATTTTAAGAAATGTGCTCGAAGCCAGCAAAATTATCTGCCACTATAATGATAATAGAGATATATTTACCTGATAAAATTACTTTAAACAAGAAAAAACATCTAGAAATAAGTTTTATAATCTTATATTCATACAACCGTCTCAAAATGAGAAATATTAGATATTTAGACTAGATTTAAGATGATTTCTCTTATCAAGATATTATTTTTAGTAGTGCAAACCCACCAGTGAACCGCCAGTGTCTTCTGTGTTTATATATGTAATATTGATGATGGTAAAATAGTGATAAATCTGAGAAAAAAACAAACTATTTCTCATTAAAATAGTCATGTATCTCTTCACTTTGCATGTATTTTAGGCCAAAACCTTCTCAAAACTACCGTAAATCAACGTCTCAGGCATAAGACAGTGTATTTCTAACTATTTCATGTATTCAACGGTTTCTATCACCACCACTGTGAACAATTCTGACTCTAGAGTGAAGAATTTTTCACCACTCTGAATGAGTCTGATTACATCTTAAACATTCAATAGGGCAGAAATTTTAAAACATTGGTGGAATTCCCCTTTAATAGAAATTGCATCTCTGAAATGGTAAAACTTTAACATATGTAAGAAGCACCTCTGGTTCCTTAAAGAACCTCGTTCGAGTGTGAAGAACCTTTTAAAGGCTTAATGTAACGTAAAGGTTTAACACCAGTTTAAGGGCTCTTTCTTGGATCTTTACATCATGTGGAGGTTTAAACATTAAAAAGCTTTATTACACTTACAAACCTCCTTTAGAGAAAAGGTTCTCCAAAAGAAATATCCATGGCAAGGTTCTAAAAGTGGTACTTCTACCCTCTTAAAAAGAGTGATTCTTTAAGGGTTCTTTGGTGAAGAAAATGATTCTATACAGAACCATTAACACTCAGAGAACCCTTGCATGATTAAAGGGTCCTTTGCATCATGAAAGCGTTCTTCGGAATGTGTCATAGATGGTTCTACATAGAATCGTTTTGAAAAGGGTTCTATATAGCACCCGAAAGGATTCTTCTATTGTTACAATGTCAAGCTTAAAACAGTAGAAAAACCCTTTTGGGTGCTATATAGAACCATCTACAGCACATTCTCCATCAATCTGAAGAGCCTTTCATAATGCAAAGAACCCTTCAATCATGCAAAGAGTTCTTCTGGTGTTCATGGTTCTTTATAGAACCTTTTTCTTTGCTAAAGAACCCTTGAAGAACCATCTTTTCTAAGAGTGATGGTGTCATGTTAAAAGCCTGTTTTGACACCTTTGTTTTTAAAGGTGTAACTGACCTGTTTAGCAAACATATCACTGCTGTCGGAACAAAACCTCATATCTCCGTTTTTTGTCGTTTTTCAGTTTTTGACGTAATTTGAAAATGTCTGTTGAACTTCACATTGTGTGTAAATTTCACAATGAATGGACCAAAAGGAACGGCCCAAAATGACTTGGGAAAAAATTCTGGTTCCATTGACTTACATTGAAAATAAAGTATGTTTTTTCCTTCTCCTGTAAAGTTACCATTTTGGAGATACGAGGTTTTGATCCGACAACAGCGATACGCTTTTTTTAAACTTCCAGGGGAAAAATCATTTTACAAGGCTAGAACTTTTCTTTATCTTCTGAATGCATTCGGAAGCGGTTTCACAGGCCGAGACTTTTAATAGTGAAACATCACACAGTGCACTTTAGTCAAGGCAAAACTTTCATGTTAGGCTTACTCTGTGTCCACCAAACTGGCCCTACAAGTTTAAATGTTTGTCATCAGTAATATCATTTTAATAACTGAAAGGAAATAGCTCAAAGTGTACATATTTGCCAGCACAGTCGTATGCAAACGTTTGAACTGTCCTGGTCAAATGACACATTTTGTTGATTTTCTAAGTGAAAATAAGTCACACATCCTCTACAGAGAACTTAAATGTGGCATTTTTCTGCAAAATTTTGTGCACAATTTCTATTTATTCGCTGGGTTTAACATACTGGAAGAAATAAAACAGACAAATATGTGCCACAGACATTGCACGTTTTATTTAGTTCATATTTTTTATCCTAGATTTTTAATTCTTTTCTTGTTACTTCTTTTCAAGTGTCTTCCTGTCCCTTTGCTGCTGTAGCACTGTGAATGTCACTGCTGTGGGACTAATACAGGATTATCTTGTCTTATCTTTATTTATTTCTTTTTTTACAATATGTTAAATTCAGCAAATTAACAGTAATTTTGTGTTAAAATGTGCAGCAGGATGTGTTTTCACTTAGAGAATCAACAAAACATGTCATTTTACCAGGGGTGCCCAGACTTCTGCATACGACTGCAGCTGGATCCTCTCCGGCCCCCTCCAGCAGCAGACAGCTGTTCTCTGTTCACTCCACAGTTTCTGGTGTGGTTTTGAGGAGAACAGAAGAAGGCAGTACCTGTTATTCTGGGGATGGTGATTTGTCTGCTGCTGCTGCCCTCTCCTCCCTCTCCGAAGGGCTTGATCTGTATGATGTACTCCTCGTCCGGAGGCAGAGACAGCTCCACTGAGGTGGTGTTGGTCTCCATGACTCGGGGCCGACTGTGCTGGTTCTGCTTGTACAAAACCTACAGAGGGATTCAATGGGTCAGAGGTCGGTTCCTGAAGGCAGTGCTGGTACACTGGAAACAGTGTTCTCTCCCCAGTCCATACAGTCCATATATGGAAAATAAGCTGCGAAAACAGCCTGTTTTAAATGAATTATTCTTATGATGTCAAGAAAACCAACATTTTTACATATAACCACCTATGCAGCCTATAGCATTTTAGCTCCGCCCACTTACGCTGAGTTATAAGGAGTGTTTCAGCCTGCACTGCTTTATAAATGAGGCACAATACAGGACAGCCAATCAGAACAGAGCTCATTTACATATATCAGTCTTAGGCTACGTTCACATTACCAGCTTGAAGTGGCACAAATCTGATTTTTTGTCCTAATGTGACTCAGGTCTGATGTCTTCAGAGGACACACAAATCTGATCTTTTCAAATCCGACCTGAGCCAGTTTGGCTATGTTCACATTACAAGCCTTGCTGCTCAAATACGATTTTTTTGCTCAAATCTGATCTCTCTGACACGATGGTTCACACTCGTTTAGGTAAGTGACTCAAATATGAGAACGAACCGGCGTCCTGAAATGACCCTCATGAGCACATCCTACTCAGTAACGTCACGTGAATGAATCACGTTCATCATCAGCACAAACTAACGAGCAGAACGAGCTTCGCTGAGAAGATCATTAACTCTGATCGGCTCTCAGCATCATTATTAGAGCGAGACGAAGGAGAAAAAGGTGAGATGAGCTGCTTTTCCACCGTTTACAGGCTTTAACTTCTGTTCATAGTACAACATACACAATACTGAATATAATATCATATAACACAGCACTAAAACACTTTACACAGCAGAACATTCCTTCCACCATCAGTCTGATGTTGTGCTAAAAGTGTTTTTAGGGATGCATGATGATGTTGGAATCATATGAGTATAGGCAGATGTTTACTTAAAAATCTATATATCAGCATTGGACAGATGTCTAGATTTGGCTGATATTTCAAAGTGATAATGACTTGATGAATATTTAGGTGACACTGGGTTTCTGTTCTAAATCGTGTATTTTATTCATTTTACATTTTTGCATAGTAAACTTATAAATGTTATTTTTCTCTGTAGTGCTATTCCAGGTGGATCTAGTGCCAATTTCTACATTTTATAAACGTTTATGTATCGTTAGATTTGTACATAAAAATTATTGTATATTGGCATCGGCTTATACTTCCCGTATCGGTGCGTCCATATCATTCTTAAACATTTTATGAGATAACAACCACCTCCTTTTTCCAAAAAAGTTGGGACACTGTGCAAAATGTAAATAAAACAAAATGCATTCAAGTGCAAATAATTTAAACCCTATATTTAATCAAAAATAGTACAAAGACAACAAATGAAATGTTGAAACTGAGAAATTTTATTGTTTAAAAAATGTTTTTGAAAACTTTTTCATTTTGAATTTGATGCCAACAACATGTTCCAAAAAAGTTGGGACTGGGGCAACAAAAGGCTGGTAAAATTGTGTAATGCTAAAAAAAACACCTGGTGGTTGATTGGCAACAGGTCAGTAACATGATTGGGTATAAAAAAGCATCTCAGAGAGGCGGAGTCTTTCAGAAGTAAAGATGAGGAGGGGTTCACCACTCTGTGAAAGACTGCACGATCAAATATCGCAACAATTCAAGAATAACGTTTCTCAACATAAAATAGCAAAGAACTTTTGCTTTTCATCATCTACGGTACATAATATCACTAAAAGATTCAGAGAATCTGGAGAAATCTCTGTATGTAAGGGACAAGGCTGAAAATCAGTATTTGCTGGCTGTAATCTTTGGGCCCTCAGGCAGCACTGCATTAAAAACAGACATGATTCTGTAGTGGAAATCACTGCATGGGCTCAGAAACACTTCTGAAAACCACTGTCTGTGAAAACAGTTCATCACTTCATCCACAAATGCAAGTTAAAACTCAAAGAAGAACACAAAGAAGAAATCATATATAAAAAGGATCCAGAAACGCTGCCACCTTCTCTGGGCTCATTTAAAATGGACTAAGGTGAAGTGGAAAAGTGTCCTGTGGTCCGACGAATCAACATTTGAAATTCTTTTTGAAAATCATGGACACTGTGTCCTCTGGGCTAAAGACCACTCAGCTTGTTATCAGCGTACCATTCAAAAGCCAGTATTCATGATGGTATAGGGGGGCATTGGTGCACATGGCATGAGTGATGTGCACATCTGTGAAGGCACCATTAATGCTGAATGATATATACCTGTTTTGGCAACATATGCTGCCATCCAGACGACGTCTTTTTCAGGGAAGGCCTTGATTATTTCAGCAAGACGATGTCAAACCACATTCTGCATGTATTACAGCAGCATGGCTCCATATTAAAAGAGTCAGGGTGCTAAACTGACCTGTCTGCAGTCTAGATCTGTCAGCACTGATAACCTTTGCTGCATTATGAAATAAAAAGGCGACAAAGGAGACCCTGAACTGATGAGCAGCTGAAATCCTATTTCAATCAAGAATGGAAAACATTTCACTGTCAAAACTACAGCAGTGTCTCCTCAGTTCCCAAACGCTTACAGAGTGTTGTTAAAAGAAGAGGTGATGAAACACAGTGGTAAACAGGCCCCCGTCCCAACTTTTTTGGAATGTTTAGTTGGCATCAAAGTCAAAATGGGCACTTTTTTTTTCAAAAAACAATAAAATTTCTCAGTTTCAACATTTGATTTGTTGGTCAATTCAGTGGAGCTTGTCCTCTGGAGTCCAATTATCCAGCAAACTGAGAAGAATCGTCCATTTATGTAATAAATCCACACTGTGAAGTTCATAGTTTGCGAGTTCACTCTGGTTCTTATATTGATGGCACTCCCGTTATTGACCAGACAGGAACCCCCCTGCTTACCTTATATCCTGTGACCTCCGATTCGTTCTCCAGAGCTTTCACTTGCTCCCAATTCAGAATGATCTTGGAGTTGGACGTGTTCCACATGACCTTTACAGGAGGCTGGCTGGGAGCTGGGAACGAATGGAGGAAGAAAAGCTTTCAGAACTTTGAAACAGCCAAACTCTGCACTGCATTTGTCTTTAAATGTAATTCCGCACTGAAGCATCCGGAGATGCACTTTCTTTGCTTACGAGGCTTCTTGGTGGTCACGTTGATGGCTGTGCTGGGTGGCCCAGTTCCGGCTGTGTTGTAGGCCCTCACTGTTATGTAGTACGTGCTGCTCCCTCTTAACCCCTGAATAATGGCCGTGGTCCGATTTCCAACGGTCCTTAGCATGCTAGCGGTGTCCTCTTTCTCCTTCTTTTCCCAGTATCTCAACTAGAGAGAGAGATAAAGCCAGCGTAAGTCCCTCAGGACCCACTCAGCACTGATTTATATGTAAAAAATTGCCATTATTGGACTAAAAATGTAGATTTGGGCTCCTAGCCGTATCTTTGTGGCTGCCTATCAAGCTTGCCTCAGGTGAAGGAGGTCTGGTTACTTAGCCACCGAAGCGAAGCAGTGTTTAAATGACACTGTCACGGGCGAATCATAAAGCGCAGCATTTCACAGCTGTCGAGTTGACTGATAAAGCCTGTTTTTCCTCCTGGTCTCTCTCAGGACTGCCCAGGCTACAGTGACAGGCGGGTGATGGCACAAATATAATTCGTCCTTCTGCTCGTTCTAGAACTGTTTGCAGAGGACAGAGAGCCAGAGGTGTTCCATCCACCTTAGCTCTCTCTTAATAGTTACTCCCGTAGCCCCTTGGTTTTCCAGTTTTCTGTCAAATTAAAACCGCTGTCAGCACACTGAGCCACCGGACAGTTCTCTCTGGTCAGCTGTTCAAAAAAAAAAACCCCTCAATTTCTTTTTTTTTTCTTAAATAACTCCACAAAAAGCTTTCGGTTCAGCAGCGGCCGTATTTAGAGCTAATTGAGAAGAAGGAGAACGAACAGGACAGGCCCATCAGCAGTGAAGAGGAGACTAGATGAGTCCACTAGCAGCAGTGATATTAGAGTATCTGCTGCCCAAAATGCATGAACAACTTGACAGTCATCAATACAAGAGCACTGCAAAGATTTAAAGCCTTATTAGCTACTCAGTGTAGCACAAAATCCCGCACTCAAGTCACAAACACAAACATGGATTTTTCTGATGTGTGGGTAATAGGGGGGAAAATGAAAACGAATCGCTTTTTCTTTAAAAGGAAAAAAAGAAAGAGAGAAAGCAGCACATTCAGTCCAGCTTTTGTGTGGAGTTAAAGGGCATATTTCAATCAAAACTGTGTATTCTTCCCTTTTTGGTGTAAATAAAAGTTTGATGTAATTTGATGAAAACATTGTTAAAAAACAGGGAAACTATGCCATAAAAACCAGTGCATTTACATATATCCATCTATTTAGCCTATAGCAGTTTAGCCCCACCCGTTAACGCTGAAGTTATGTGGAGTGGAGCCTGGGCTGCTTTCTGAACAAGGCACAATACAGGGCATCCAATCAGAACAGAGATCCTTTACATACATGAGTCTTAAATGCACAATAAGGAATATAGGGGTAAAAAGGGATTATTCGGACGGTTTTGGTACTTAAACCCACATGAGAGAACAAATTATATACAAAAATAACAATCTAGGATATAGGACATGGGTTAGCAACCCAAATGTTCAGAAGAGCCATTTTGTCCTTTCAACAAAAATCAAACCACTTTGGGAGACACAACATTCTGTCAATTTTACCATCTTGGCTGTAAATATGTCTCAGTATGTGTTCTAGTATAGGCTACAAATATAATTTAAACTAAAACATAGATTTGCTTTGCTCTACTTTAAGCTTTAGCTCAGTTATAGCTGCTTTTCTCATATCTCTGGCAGGAAACTTTTCCGCAAAAGTAGAACAGTTTCTTGTAAAATGTCTCTGAACGTTCGATTTTTACGAGGCTGAAGTCGCTTCACATTCGCCAGCTTCACATTCTAATTTTTCCTGCTCCACCTTAAAAGGCCTGAGGTGCCAGAATGTAACTGCTGCGCCATTTAAGGTGGAATGGCAAAAATTCGAACAAGAAGCTGGCGAATGAGAAACTGAATTCAGCTTTGTGACTTTTTAGTGTTTGCAGATTAAACATATAAGGAAACCAGCTGGAGTGATTATAAACGCTACTGATTATAAAAGTCCATTTGTCTCCAGATTATCGATGTTCATCTTAAATCTCCCTCTTTGCCTTTTCGTTAGCAACTAGCTAGGTGAGACTACTGTCTATGGTGACCAGCAAGTCTGTGCACCAACCTTCAGGGTCAAAAGTTGGTGAATTAGCAGATATAGGCTACATTAACTCCAGCGTTTAAGACCACTTACTGTGTTGAACGATCAGCAGAGCTTTATTTTACTGTAAAGGAGGATTATTTTATTTTTACCTACAAATCTGATTCTGCTGTGGAGCCACAACAGGACAGGAAAAGAGCTGCACACGGCTGATTTAGGCCTTTTAAAAAAGAACTGTACATTTGCAAAAAGTCAACTTAACATAGAAATGAAAATGTTAATAATGCAGTGCTTTTCCTGCTCCCAACACACCTGAATGAACTCATCAACCAATTAACAAACCCTTCATAAGGTTATAAAGGGTCTCTGAGAGCATAGAAAGCACTAAAATGTGCGATACAGGCTTCTCCAAAGGCAGGAGTGGGAAATACTGCAGTATTGGATCTGAAATAATGCTAAGTGCTCCACATAGACGTTCATTAGCCATGTTAGCGCTTTTGGAGTGAAGAGCCCCTTTAAAGTTGTTACCTCATAGCCGAGAACACGCCTCCTGCTCGTACTCCATGGAAGGGCTTTCCACATCACCTCCACTTCTGATGCTGAGATGCTCTGGGCTCTGACTCTCGTAGGTGCTCTGCCAGGCTCTGAGGTCAGAGGACAGTTTGATTAGACAGTCCACACCAATAAAGGGAAATTTAAAAAAAATAATAAAAATCTGCATAATTTAATGGTTAAGATGTGAACAGAGACATTCAGAGTGGTTTGGAGTGAAATTGAGGTGATAGGAACCAGACGTCCACCTCTAAAAGCTCCCTCACAGAAAATCATTACATGCTATTACATGCCTGATGTCTAAGAGATCGTTTTACGGTAGTTTTGAGAATGAAATGTATTTTTAAAATCCATTTATGGCTCAGGGGTACGTGCAGGGTGTTCTAAGGCAAAATAGTCCCCAAAGAAAACTTTTGGATTTTCCACTATTTTCCCATCATCAATATTCCATATAAAACTCAGAAGACTTGTGTAGGTTCACTGGTGGTTCTGGAGTGTAAATAAAATATCTATATTTGTGTTGTAGTCATGGCGACCCCGGTTCCTATCAACACCACTGTAAAGAAATCAGAGTCTGCAATAAACCATTTCACAGCAACCACTCTGAATGACAATTTTAATGATTGAATTGAAAAACTGGTTGTACACTGCTAAAAATGGTGTCTTGTCAAGTAAAATTAAATCTTAAATCTAGTCAAAAAATCTAAAATTTCCCCGCTGAGATTTTTGTGAGCTTAATTTAAGATTATTTAACTTATTTCCAACCATTTTTACTTGTTTTAAGTGATTGCACTAATTAGGACCCCGCAAAATGTTAAGTCACTTCTAGCCTTCATAACTTCAGAACGGTTTAAGATACAAACATGATCCACATATCAGGACATTCAGCAGACCCACCCCTAACAAGCAAGCATGACACCATCGAGCTGTGACATCCGCATCAGTGAGTAATTCGGGCTCAGAACATCACCTAAAATCCTGATATTTTGTTCTGCTGTTTGGCCTTCATATTCCAACAAAGGGTTGAAGCAGCGACATGATTCACACATCAGATCACTCATCAGACTCTGCATCACCATCCAGAGTGATTTCATCCACCTGTGACCGTCCATCAGCCAGAGATCAGCTCCAAAATCGCCCAAACCCACCCACTACTGTTATAGTACATCTCTGCTTTTAGCCTTCATATTATAAACAAAGGGCTTTCAGTTTACATTGATTTTGACTATTAAAAATATCTGATATTAAATATGCAACTCAATCTGTAATTAAAAATAAAGCCAGTCTTGCTGTGTATCAGAGTTTTAGCACTCAGCCTGAATCCAAGAGGACAGAAAATCAATAAAAAACATGTCTGCCTTACGCTAACTGTTTATTTTTACTCATAACAACCAACAGAATGAATCACCATCAAAGTATTGCACTTTCAGCTCACAGACACTCCAGACTAACAATTTCTGAAAAGATAACTACAACTGCACTTGTTTTAAAGATCTCTATAATAAAAAAAAAATACAAAAGTTTGCAGGCTCTGGGTAAATTTTTGATCAGAAATGACCCAAATTCATAAAGACATCAAATTTCTGTCAGCATTTACATGTCAAACAATAGCATATCTGAGAAGCCCAGGGTCTCCAGAAAATAACAACATATGGCATGTGTGACTGTCACATGTAAATACTTTATAATTGCAATTGTAATTGACCCAAAATACCAAGAAAAAAATTCCAAAAATTATAGGGTTCTAAAGAGTTATCTCACTGTATTGGCAGATTATTTTATTTGTTTTAAGAAATGTGCTTGCCACTATAGTGAGATAATTCCATTAAAAAAATAACTTAAGACAAGTAAATAATGTCTAGAAATAAGCTAGAGTATCTTATAACAGGTGCACAACCATCTCAAAATAAGAATATTAGATAGATCGACTAGATTTAAGATTATTTTACTTGACAAGACACTTATTTTTGCAATGTAGCCTCCGTATGCAGCCCCCCCGCCTTCAAGAGAAGGTCTTTAACTTGTTGCTAAGTCATTAAACTAGGCACTCTAGCTTTGTGTTGGTTAAAGTAACACATCAGACGCGTCAAAAGGAAGCAGTAATGATACTGACAGAGTTACAGAGCCACAACGCTGCCTCAGCCTCTGTTGTTTGATGCAGCGCTGCAGTTTCTGAACAAGCGCGAGCAATCGCAATTCAAATCATTCACCGATGTTTGATGTCGGAAACACTGGTTCAATCAGAGGAACAATACGAGGTGACTGAAGTCTGAAGCACATTCCTGTGGATTCATTTGCTTGCTCAAAATAGCCCTCTATGAATTTTTCTTTCCACTTAAAAACAGGCGTGATGAGAATACACTGATCAGGCATAACATTATGACCACCTCCTTGTTTCTACGCTCATTGTCCATTTTATCAGCTCCACTTACTATATAGGTGCACTTTGTAGTTCTACAGTTACAGACTGTAGTCCATCTGTTTCTCTGATACTTTGTTAGCCCCCTTTTACCCTGTTCTTCAGTGGTCAGGACCCCCATGGACCCTCACAGAGCAGGTACTGTTTGGGTGGTGGATCATTCTCAGCACTGCAGTAACACTGACGTGGTGGTGGTGTGTTAGTGTGTGTTGCGCTGGTCCGAGTGGATCAGACACAGCAGTGCTGCTGCTGTTGCTGAACTTTACCCTCCTCTGCTGTCACTGCAGACTGGCAGCGTCGCCTACAGAGCAGCGCTGGTAGCTGTTAATGAAGTGATGCTCTTTTTTTTGAGGGTCCCATTTCAGAGGGGAAGATTTCAACCACTACCCTGTAACTCAGTTACAAGGGGCAAGGAGACACTCGAAAACAAGGGGTAGGGGTGAAAATAAATGGGACTGGGCTGAGATGTCGATTTATTTGTTTCTGTCCACACATTCACGTAAACTGTCATTTGAAACTTTACCAGGATTTTGACTTCAGCTTGAACTTAATCAGCATTAAGTTCCCAAGTAAAAGTGCATGTGCGAAAGGGGCTTAAGCACTGGCACTGTTTAAGAAGAGGCTTATTTGGAAATGTTATCATATTATAATAATGACATAGTAGTGAAAAAGATCCTTTTCCTTCTGCATGAAGGGGTTAAACAGCAGCTTTTGGCTAGTTATTTATAACAAGGGTGCCCAAACCTTTTAACAGCGTAGACCAAGCCACAGGCCAAAAAGGTTTTGAATGGACCAGTAAGCGGGGGGGGTGGTGGTGCTGTGAAGCACATAATAAGGTTATGTCTTGCTGTTGTTGAGGAACATTGTGTCCCCGAATGGCAAAGAAATTGGCAGCTTCATAGCCTCATTTGCTAACTTCCCTCTACACAATACAATGGATTTGGCACATAAGCACCCTCGCTGGCAGTGAATCTGCCATTTAAGATTAAATGGTGCTTTTTTAAAGTAATAAAACGTTTGTTAAATGTTATCAGTGTCTTCATTTTTGACTTCACTTATGCTGGACATCAGCTGAAAGCAGCCAATACCAATCTACACGCACACATGAGGCCATATAGAGACTTGACGAAGGCTGATGTGTATTCAAAATGACATAAAATTAATTTCTAAACATTTTAAGGGCAAAAATTAAGCAAAAAAATATACTAATATTATGAAACCATTACATTATTAATATTAATAACATAATGGAGCTCAGCAGTTAGGCTACCAACTCTACCCTGCTCAAAATGCACACTCTGGTTGATGGGAAACACCTGATTTACAGCATTGCAAATATCTAGAATGAAAATGACAAAACACAGTGCAGAGATCTGTGTACACGAACCCTCCTCAGCAGAGTAGATGGTGACTACAGGCCCAAAAGGTCCTTCTCCCTTGTTGTTGTAGACGCCAACTTTGACCTGGAACTTGGAGAAAGGCTGGATGCTTTCGTTCTTGAAGACGTATTTGGAGGCATCGGGTGAAGGCACGGCTGCCTGCATCCAGCCTGTAGCACCGTAAGGCCGGAACGCCACCACATACCCGAAGCCTGGGCCGTTCTGGAGCTCCTCAGGAACAGGCTGCAGCACACAAACACAATAAAACACCAACTTCAGGATAATGATTTAGCGAAAATTAAGATTCACACAATTCTCTACTTCCCCCAGATGTAGTTGATCAGCCAAAATGTTTGGTGTCCAAATATTGGTTCTTATTTTAGAACTGGAGCTATGAGGTTATTAGAACTCAATAGTCACCCAAATCATTTCTGTAAAAATACATGCTGAAACTCTCAACACACTCAAAGGTGGAACAGATTTGTAGACGTGGTTGAGGACACAATATGACTTTCTCAACCTATAAAAGTGACTAAAGCCACTTTAGACAGCATAGTCGATATTCAGAAACCCATCAAGAGCCAGAGCGCTGATCTAGACTCAGCATTTGTGATAATGACCATCATAAATACGAGGAATCTGATCCAAGGTCAGGCCAGCTTTGTGACTATCACCTGTGGTATTGTCTGAAATGGCTGCAGTGATTTTTTTTTTTAGATCACAGTAAGTCATGCTAAACAAAATCAACATCTGTGTGACCTTAATGAAGATCTGGAGTGGGTTCATGGAAGTTCTGGGAATGTGTTTTCATAGGAACGATTTGGGTGACTATTGAGTTCCAGTGTTTGTTAACAATGAGCGTCTTTACATGCACTTAATAGTCCGATCATTTCTGGAGTTACCTGATCATTCAAATGGTCATGGAAACAGCACACTCTGATTTCTTAGATTTAAATAAGGTCTAGAAATCTGATTGAGATCTGATAAAAAGGCTGGATTTCAGCTCAGTAATCAGATTTCTCAGTGTATGTAAACGCTTACTCTGATTTCTTTCAGATTTCTCAGTCTGCTCATGTGTGAAAACAGACTGGGGTACTGGAAATAAGCAAGAAGTGTTGCCGCAAGATGGCAGCAAAACACATTTGGAGCGACGGTGAAACCAAATACATGCCTGACGAAATGAAGGAATTAAATATTCTTCATCTTCTAGATGATGTATGTTCATATTTTCAGGTGGCTTGATGTTTTAAAAAAGTTTGAATTTTACGTTTACGTCATGTCTTTTTCTGTGAGTTTACTGGCTGGTTGCAAAGCAGAAATCTGATTACTGTCTGACTCATGTAGACCCGGAGTTTCCCCATTATCTGATTACTCCAGTGCATGTAAATGCGTTCATGGGAGTACTGACAAAATCAGATTTTCTGTAGTTTTTGTATCACTGAGTGCACGTAAACGCACTCAAAGTTAGCCTTGTAGCTCCAACGCTCATGAAGCAAACTCATGAAGCAAAATTTGAGCACCAAGCGTGTCTCAGCAGGTTGACTACATCTGAGATAAATGGAAAATTGTGCACATCTGATTTTTCACCAAACTTTTCCTTTAAAAGCCATCATTATTGTTCTCCCAGCACTTTACAGGGTGTAGCGTTTCCTTCAGCCAGCACGGTGAACCCTGAAGACGGACTGTTTAGACACATGCACACCCATCTATGAAACAGGAGACCGGCAGCTGACGCTTCCTCGACACCTGTCAGCTCCTGATGCCTCACGCTGCAACGTGGACTGCTGATGTCTGCTGAGAAGGTAGCGTACAGAGTTTCAGCTCTGCTCTCACATATCCCGAGACAACCGCGGAGTTTGACTTTTTAGCTGGATCATCTACTAGCCGGCTGCTTTTGATGCCCATCAAAACGCAGACGAAAACGCTCCCCCACCACATCAGATGCGCCTGTCACAGAGGTGGGATCCGTCTCGATCTGACAAACGCAGTATTTGATCATTTGGCCCTCCTTTGGTGCGTATATGCAGACAGAGAGCCGACGCTGGGGTTTTAAAAGTCGGTTCAATTAGAGTAGTGTAGCTCTTTGTTTCCTCTAGATGGACCTCAGAGGCACCGAGTTCAAAAAACGAGCCGATAGAGTGTTTTTTGTTTTGCTCTCAGAAGACAAACATAAAATATCATTCAGTAGTCTCAGGTGAGTGATAATGCACCTAATGTTATCGCATGAGACTCAAGGTAAGAAATGCACTTGCACAAACGCGTATCCCCCGCAATTTGTTATGCCAACACACTCGTGCGCACCTGCTTTGAGTCGCTTGGCGTGAGCTAAATGAATAAATGAAAATGTAAATGTAATCAAGAACTCTGCCAACACCCCGCTGTGAAAGGAGATACTTTTCACAACAATTTACTGAAACCAAGCCAAGCATCCAAACGTACACCGGCGCGCACACTATCTTTAATGTGTTGCGAGCGAATTAAATACATGAATAGGATCAAATGAACTACTACTACTGTGGAGAAGAAGGGAACAGTGGAGGCACTTGCTGAGAATTCCATCATTTGCCACTGACACGTTTTAACCCTAGTAGATAGCGCTCACGCTCAGCTCTTCAAAACCAGAACAACAGAGTATCTGTTATAACAAAAAGAATGGCAGCCAGAAAATATAACCTTTTGAACAAAGTTGCTCACAAGTTTGTAAGAAAAACTTTAATTATGTTTTTTTTTTTTTAAGCTCAAAAGCTTTTCTTTACTTTGCTTCCAGTTACTGCTTCTCAGTGCTTAAAGAAAATGACATGCCAGGCCTCACGTAAGCCGGGTTTACTGCAATTAATGAAAGTAAAGCCTGGATAAAAACGGTGCGAGAACACAGTGGTGGCCAGCTTACCTCCCAAGTGATGACTAACTCTGATCGACTTCCACCTCCTCCGCTCACATTAGCTGGAGTGACCTTTGGGACTGAAGGAATCAGAAAACACATACAAACGTAATAAGGAGTGAAGCAGGCCTGTCAGTTTAACCGTCACCACCTCGGCTCATATTCAACTGCAGTAAAGCAGTGAAGGACAGATACAGCAGTTGGGTGTTGCATGGTGATACTGCAGTCTCCAGGCATCCAGGAGAAATCTGGAACCAAACTTTGATTGAAACTTAGCTAATTAGATATCTACATTTTTTAAAATAAGAAATTTATTTTACCTTTTTCTATATTCATCCGTTGGGGAATTGTTCTATCATACAACTACAAAAACTGCTACTAATAACCATCGAGTTCAAGTCCACACCTTTTTCTAAGTCTGGCTTTTATTTTGTTCATTCACAGCGATTCAGAGCGGTTTGGTGTGAAATGGTTCAGATGTCTTTACAGTGGTGCTGATAGGAACCAGGGGTCGCCATGACTACAAAACAAATATAGACATTTTATTTACTATCCAGAACCACCAGTGAACCTACAAAAGAGTTTTCTTATATTAAATCTTAATAATAAAAAACAAGTTTTTTTTGGGGACTATTTTGCCTTATAACACCCTGCACAGACCTCACTACAATGAATGACCTTAAAAACATGTTAAATATGTTAAAAATGTGCTAAAATCATAAATCAAAAATATCTTAAAACAATATTTCAGGCATCGGGCAGTCTATTTGCTATTAATAACTTTCTGTGAGGGAGCTTTTAGAGGCATTAAACTCAAACTTAAACTAAAATGGACACATTAGATAACTTCTATAAGATAATATTCTATATTTTACCTGCAGACGGCAGTTTCTCTAGCACAGCACATTTCATATCACACCAATCTGAATGTCTGTTTACATTTTAATGATTTACTTGTAGATAAATTTTGAAATGTTGATGGAATTCCCCTTTGATATGTCATGCAACATGAAAGTATTTGTATTTGTATTCAACTATAAGCAAATGTGAAATCCAGGAGCAGGGCAGCACGTGCATGTTGTCAGTTTCCGAGTTCACTGTTTGGAAAAATGTAACTTTTTATTGCATATAATGAGATAATGAGCTTCCTGACCAATGACTAAGAGCGCACACACATTTGACTTAACGTTTAATTAGGCCTGACTTAACCCTTGTGTGGTGTTGATGTGTCTGTTACTCAGTGGTCTGCTGGACCCACCACATTATTGTTTTTTAAAATCAATACAGTCATAATAATTTATGTAAAAATACCAGATGTTCAAAATATTACAAGTGTCCAGTGTAGGGTTCTCCTTTAGCAGCTGTAGCCAGTCAGCAGCCTGTCCATTTTGTCCACCCTCACACACACACACACACACACACACACACTAACAGCAGGCCATGTAGGAGGAGAACAGAGTGAAGGACACAGCACCTCCACACTGTTACTCCCCGCAGGTTCACCCAACACCACATGTGTAATATAAATGTGTGGGGGGTGAACAGAGTGAAGACACTGAAAATGGGTTATTTTATATGTTCTTCACAGAAAATGAGCAAAGACCAAGAATCTGAGGTTGAAATAATAATAAATCACATCATTTTTTCTTTTGGTAAACACTGAAAATGGGTCCCACAGACCTGAACACCACACAAGGGATAAACAGGCACATCTACACAAAGCTGCCATACGTTTAAAGCACTTACGTGTTTCCTTTGTCCTCACTTGTTTGGACGGTTTGCTGGGCTCACCTGTGCCCAGGGCATTGCTTGCCAGCACTCTGAACTCATACTCTACCCAGGGGCTGAGCTCGATTACCGTAGCCGTCAGACGCCGGCCGCCCACCTCCTCTGGCACTGGCAGGAAACAAAGCACAGGCACTCAGAGACAGAAGAGCCCCCTATTGATCCTCCACGTGCCAGCACTACCGCGCACACACAAACAATAACACTGCGGTTGCCTTGCAGCCTGAGAAAGGGGGAGAGAAATGCGCTGCGGGCTGGAAACAGTACAGAACTCGTACATAAAACACAATGGATCAAATTAACCAAACAAGCTACAGCCATGATCACTAGATCAGCAACTATTAGAGAGGCTACAAGGCAAACAGGTGAAGTTTAGGTGCTGAATAATGTGTATAATGAATGTAATTAGCCTTCCCTACTTTAACGCTTAGATGTCTAGAATTAGTATCATTTTGATACTAATACTAATAAAATGTAATGACCAGGTTGTCCAATGATTACAATAATGATTTGTCATGAATCATATTGTTTTGCAGTCACATAAAGGGTGTTTTTTTCTGTATGAGCAACAATATTTTCATTAAAAACAAATCCTAACAAAATCTCTTCTTTTCTACTTACTAAAGCACTTTCGACTGATTTTCTCTGTTGTCTGAACGAGCTGAGAAGTAATTATTACGCAACTACACCATTGCTAGTGATAACTGATCCCTAAAGGTTAAATAGAGCATCGTACCTATACATAAAACACAAATTAAAGCAGCACAAAAAGAAAAGCACAGCCCTTTTGAGAATCTGTAGTCTTGCAATCACCAGCTACTTAATAACTAAGTGCTATTTTGGCACGCGGCGGGAAAAAAATCAATCTGGTAGGAATGTGGGGGGTGTGGAGGAGGGGGGTTGTGTAGTGCAAATGATTTGATCAGATGCAGGCTGGTTAGAGGCTCTACCTGTAGTGACAGCTTGCCAGCCGAGGGAGAAGGGGGTTCTAGCCTGGATGGTGTAGGCGGTAATTGGACTGTGATTATCAGGACCAGGCTTCCAGGAGAGAGTGGCTGTGGTGTCCGTGAGTTCTTCCACATGGATGCTGGTAGGGGGGCCTGGGGGACCTGAAACAGGAAGCAGTCATGCAGACCACACACACGCAGACACACACACACACACGCACACACACACACGCACAAACTTGTTTTCATACAGCGTCAGGACATGAGATCATAAAAATGTCCTATTTGTGTTACATATATGCAAGCGCTTATATGGCATAATAAGTCCTATATATATCACATTGGTAATTGCAAAATGGTTAGTTCCAATGAGCAATCTGATTGGCTGAGAGGCATCTTACCTATGCTGATATTTTGACAGTAAGGATAACATTTTGCTGAGCACCAGCTGCTAAGGACCGACTTTAGGGACCACTGGCTTTATGCTGCAGCTAACCATTACTAAGTTTTTACTTTTTCAAAAATAGAAAATGGACAGATAATATAAAGAAAATATTTGACCTGCAGACCATTTGGTCAGATTCAGAAAAAGAGAGTGATCATAGGCCTACATTTATACACTATATATATATATATATATATATATATATACACACATATATATGAGAGAAGAAAACCTCGTATCTCCAAAATGGTAACTTTACAGGAGACGGAAAAAACTTACTTTACTTTTAATGTTTTGATCATGAAATTTATATACAATGTAAAGAACAACAGGCATTTTCAGATTATGTCAAAAACTGAAAAACAACAAAAATGGAGACATAAGGTTTTCTTCCGACAGCAGAGATATATATATATATATATATATATATCACATTATATAACTTCTATAAGATAATATTTTATTTATTTTATTCACCTGCAGACTGTTTGGTCAGATTCAGTAAAAGAGAGTGACCACAGATCAACACCACATTTGTTCAAAGCACTTTACAAAGTCAAGCTCATTTTTTAGCCCTATCATTGTTGTTTTCTCTGATTTTCCTACAAACTGAGGGCACTTTTGTCTTAAAAATGTACAAAAACAAACACACGCACACACAGTCACCCTGTGTTGCAGCTTTCTCGTGAACAGCTGCCTAAAGCGCAGGAGTCCGCCTCGTAAATTACACTAAACGTTTGGTGTTTTCTTTCTTCTCTTTAATCGCCCTAATTAGTAACGGCTTACTTTTCTCGTTGGTCTGAACGAGGACTGTGCAGCTCCGTCGTTTTCTCGGGTCTGTAAATGTTCGGCGTGTGTGGGAGGATTTTTGTTTCTGCTACACTGTGTCATCAGTTTGTGAGTCCTGTGAGCCGTATAACAGCGCAGATCTGCAAAAGGCGAGATGATGCAATGCGAGAGAAAACAGAGCTGGCTCCTCAAACGTTACCTTTAAATGTCATTTGAGCACCTGTGCAGGTGGCCTAGTTTATGTGCCAATAATACACGATCCTGTCCCACTCGGTTTCGAACCCTGCAGAGAATAGTTCCAGCTCTAATCTAACTCACCTGGATCTAATCTTCACCTGCCCACGAATGTTCAGATTGGCTTGGAAAAATAAAAATGATTTGCTAGATCAGGTGTGTTAAATTAGATGTGCCAAAAGTGATGCTGCGTTCACAACCACATCGGAACTGGGCTGTTTCCAGCTTTCAAGTGGGAAAAATCCATTTGAACGGCTCTATAGCTCAGAATTCCCACTTGGAAATTTGGAAAATCTTAAAAGTGACTTATCTGAGTTCAAAAGTGACTTTTTCGTCACTTCGACAGGGCGGCGCCCACAGAATAAGAAGTAATAGCTTGTTTGGAGCATTTTTAAGCAGACTGTTGTGTTTCTATTTGTGAATAATATACAATTTGTGCATGATATCTTTACATACATTGGGATACCTGGATATTTTGAAAGTTTATGTCATTCTGTGCAAGATTTTTGATCAATACAATCATGTCATTTGTGGCCCTATATTAATGGTGAATTGCCTTAGCCTATATCAACATTTAAAATAAGTGAAAAACCAAACCTTTTATTTCTATTGTAAAAGCTATTTAAGAGCCTTTAATAAGCAGTTATCATGAATCCAGTATAAGCCCATAAAATATGCCAGAAATATGTGTCACCAAGTGGTGCACAAAACCTGTTTAAAGCACAGCTGAAAAAAGAATCATGTTCATGTGAGAGTAAGTAAGAAGGTGGTCTTGCATACATTAAAAAAACATGTTTGATTCATAATAAATCTAATTTTTTTAACTTCTTTAAGTTCGATATCAAAGAGATCTTCATGTAGTGTTTGGGACAGACACTTTCCAATAGAAAGTACCCTATAAATGCTGATTTTGTATATATTTAGCATATTACTATCTCTATTAATGCGCTGGGTTAAAATAGATCATAATATAATATTTGTAAATATCTAAACTCTGAATACTTCATTGTTTTTTTACTGTGGGAAAGCAGTTTGAACTAATTCAGTAGAATTACCCACAATGCGCTCTAGCATTTGCATTGCGGCTGCAGTGGTTCGGTTGTTACCTCTGACGATCAGATCCGTGGCGATGGAACTGCTGTCCACTTTGGTCTGCACGGCACACGTGTACTTCCCAGCATGCCTCATCTGAATGTTCCGGATCATGATGTCACCAGAAGAATGCTGTGGAACAACAGTGAGATCAAAGAATGTAAATCTTGACATGCTTAGCGTTGCTGGAACAAAGCCTCGGATCTTCATTTTTGTCATTTTGAATTTTTTTCTTACAGAAATTTCAAAACACCAGCTGCCCTTTAAAATGTGTTAAAATACCATGATGAACAGACCAGTTAAAACAGCCCAAAACGACTTGAAAAAAAATTATGTATAGTAACTATATCAATTATATAAATTTGACATAATTTGAAAATACCTGTTGTCCTTTACATTATAAGTATTTGATAATAAATGGACCAAAAGAAATGGTCCAAAATGACTGAAAAAAGTCTGGTTCCATTGACTTACATTAAAAGTAAGGTATGTTTTTTGCTTCTACTGTATGCATGCAAATATGTAATAACAATAAGTCCCTTATGTATTATATAACAATTATAAATTATATCATAAAACAGAAATGGACACATTAGATAACTTCTATAAGATATTTTACATTTGACCTGCAGACTGCAACAAAGCCTTGAACTTAAAATTGTCATTTTTTAATTTTTTTTCATAAATTTCAGCTGCCCTTTAAAATGTTAAAACTCCATGATGAACAGACCAATTAAAACAGCCCAAAACGACTTGAAAAAATCTTGTTCCATTAACTTACATTGAAAGTTATGGATGTTTTTCCTTCTCCTGTAAAGTTACTTTTTCGGCCGAGGTTCAGTTCAGACAGCGATGTTTCCAAACCCGTCGGCGCGAAACCCCAAAGTCATCCTACATTCTAGCCTGACTCTGAATTGATTCGTGCTGAGAACTGATTGCTTTACTCAAGAAGAAACGAAGCAATCTGAGTGTCAGTCCCTTCGTCTGCAGTTCGACTTCTTTCGCGGCTTTATTCGCATTAAAGGACGGAAGTGTTGCCATTATCCCATTAGTATACATCCTTCATTTTAAATTATAATGATTAAGTAAGTCATCACTAAGTAATGCGGGAGTGCTTTTAATATGCAAATGAAGAGCGCCAGTCTCTAGGAAGTTGTCCGCGGCTTCTTTCTGTGCCGGTTGTCATCTCGTTCGGCATCCCATAAGCTGCACAGCCCCTCGGAGCTGAGAGCCAAAGCGATGAATCAGTCAGAGGGGTAAAAGTAGTCATACATTAGGAAAAAAAAGAGGGAAAAAATGGATTTATGAACTTTTAATGAAGAGCGAATAAAAGCAAAGTGCTGTAATTCATTTCCGCATGCAGTGGCTTAATCACACTCTGTATTAACACACTTCAGCTTGTCAATGCCCATGCATAATGGGAAAATCTCTCATAACAGCTTCACAAAGAGTTGCCTTAATCTCTGCTTGATTCCATTTTTGGCTAAAAAATGCTCGAAATCTCACTTGAAGTTGGAATGAAAAACGTTCTCTTTTGACGAATAGAACGGAAAACACTTAAAGAGTTCGATGGAGACGTGAACAGTGCGGTAGACCAAAGGTAAACCCACTCTAGTAAACAGCGCGGATGAGACTGCAGAATGCGATGCTGGCTGAGCAGCACTTCAGCATCACTCAGTTAATGCAAGAGAGGAACTGCATGGTACGTTTACAGATTTACGGCTCCTGTATTAAATAAAGTAGAGAAAATCGATGGCTTTCTGCCTCTGAACCCCACCAACCTTACAACACTCGCAGCTTCTTAGAAGACAAGAGAACGATAAAAAATGTATTAGCTTTCTGAGACAGTGAAAATGCCCAGGCCTCTATTCATTATGAAGTGCTGTAGCTGAAAATAAAGAATTCTTTACTTGATTCTCACTAAAGAAGAGTTAGAAGGAAAGGTGTTCAGTCTTCTTTCCTTTAAGACTGATGCTATAATCAGGGCTGCGTGTAAACTTTTTGACTATACACCGATCAGGCATAACATTCTGACCACCTCCTTGTTTCTACGCTCATTGTCCATTTTATCAGCTCCACTTACTATATAGGTGCACTTTGTAGTTCTACAGTTACAGACTGTAGTCCATCTGTTTCTCTGATACTTTGTTAGCCCCCTTTTACCCTGTTCTTCAGTGGTCAGGACCCCCATGGACCCTCACAGAGCAGGTACTATTTGGGTGGTGGATCATTCTCAGCACTGCTGTAACACTGACATGGTGGTGGTGTGTTAGTGTGTGTTGTGCTGGTATGAGTGGATCAGACACCTCAGTGTCTCTGCTGGACTGAGAATGGTCCACCAACCAAAAATATCCAGCCAACAGCATCCTGTGACCACTGATGAAGGACTTAAGGATGACCAACACAAACTGTGCAGCAGCAGATGAGCTATCGTCTCTGACTTTACATCTACAAGGTGGACTGACAAGGTAGGAGTGTCTAATAGAGTGGACAGTGAGTGGACACAGTGTTTAAAAACTCCAGCAGCGCTGCTGTGTCTGATCCACTCAGACCAGCACAACACACACTAACACACCACCACCACGTCAGTGTTACTGCAGTGCTGAGAATGATCCACCTCCCAAATAGTACCTGCTCTGTGAGGGTCCATGGGGGTCCTGACCACTGAAGAACAGGGTAAAAGGAGGCTAACAAAGTATCAGAGAAACAGATGGACTACAGTCTGTAACTGTAGAACTACAAAGTGCACCTATATAGTAAGTGGAGCTGATAAAATGGACAATGAGTGTAGAAACGAGGAGGTGGTCATAATGTTATGTCTGGTGTATATCAAAACTATGTAACTCTGGTGCCAGGAAAGTTGAATTAAAATAGTTGCAATTAAAACTACAATTCTTACAAAACAGTTTGTCATTTTAACTGTGAAAAAAGTTTATCTTCTCCACAATTTTTCAGATTCCCCAAGGGGGCGCTATTAGCACACATTTCCTTGCATCATTAAAATGGTTGCCGTCAAACCGAATGACTTTTAGGCACTTTGTACTTTGTGTATATGTAAGATCTCCTAAATTCCTTTATGAATTAGGGATGTCAAATGATTAAAATAGTTCATCAAATCTTTATGTGTGTTCTATTGCAGTTATTTTGCTCAAATTTGCCCCAAAGATCCTTTTCCTTTTAAAAAAGCATAACATCACGTTTTTTCACACTGTATCACTCCGCTGAAACGCCGTTGCTAAGCAACGACTTTGACAGCTGTAGGAGACGCTCAAGCCATTTGAACGTTTTTACTTCTTACTTTGCCACAAACAGAAAATGGACACTTTTAAGATCACATTTGACCGACAGCCGGTTTGGTCAGACTCTGAAGATGAGACGACACTAAATTGTCTGTTGGTCTGTGTGGAGCTGGAGAACGAACTGCCGGCTGTGCGGCGAGTGGGCGGAGCTCGTTACTCTGACAAGCTGCTTGTTAAGGAACTATAATTTGGTGAAGGAACTGCGAACATTAAAACATATTAAACGCCGCGTTCACGGCCCAGTTTATTAATTTATTACTTTATTTATTTAACTGTTGTATAAAAGCAATAGAACACTCGAGGAGTGTGTTATCGCCAATAACATCACGGCTGTGATGATCTACGGCGACCAAATCACAGCCGTGATGTTATTTCGCTATAGCACACTCCCTCTGGTGTTCTATTGCTTAAATATACAGTCAATGAGTGTATATATCATATATACCACATATACAGTCAATGAGTGTATATAACATTTATATCATATATACAGTCAATCAGTGTATATATCATATATACCACATATACAGTCAATGGTTCAGCTCCTCTGTGATTGTAGCCTCTCGCTCTTGTTCATGCAGTTCATGGGTTCTTGTTACAGTGGGGATCTCGAGGGGAACTGTAGCTCCACCAAGTGGCTGCTTTTGTTAGTTTGCAGCTTGTTGATTTATCAATAGTTCTCTGCAAGCGTCTGTCCAGCGTCGTCTGCTGAAGGTACTGAGTTGTCTCTTTAAAAGACATTTAAAGGCTGCATTTGAATGGGAGCACTACAATCACTGATTCTATCAGACCAACACAGCTCACTGCAGCTGGGTTTCAGTCTGCCCTCCTTTACTAACATTATTAGGGTTTACTTTGACAGTCCTATTACGAATATACTTTTCAACCGTTTACTGGGCATCAATGAGATTCTAAATCAGTCTAAAACAATGTCTACTGTGCTGGTTATTATTTAAATCTGAGTAAGTGATTTATTCGGTGTGGGGACTCACTCCGCCAACTTTCTCAAAGTATCCTCCGTGGCTGCCGAAATGGATCAGCTGCTCGTTGAAGAACCAGGTGAACTTGAGCTCCAGCGTGGGGTCATGGGTCACCTGGCAGGGCAGCACGATGCTCTCGCCTACCGTCACGTCCAGCGTGGAGGGAGCGGTGGTGATGATTGTCGCCCCTGCAAAGCACAGTCAGTATTCAGCTTTGAGCTCAAAGAGATCTAGAAAGTGAATTAATGAAAAAGGATTCATTACAAGATTGAAGTGACAATATTTTTTGCCTCAATGTGACACAGAATTAACAAATCCATGTGATGGCTGGAGTGCATATTATACAGTTATTACATTATACATATAGTACTATGCTTGAGGCTAATGTAGCCGAAACCCATTTTCAAGTAAAAGTCTTAATTCCTGGGTAAAATAATGACTCAAGTACACCCTCAGAAATAAAGGTAGTAAACTGTCGCTGGGGCAGTCCCCCTCTTGTCACTGGGGTGGGACCATCAAGGGTTCATCTCAGTACCTTTAGTCAGGGAACATAACTGAACCATAATCCACTGAAATGATATGTTCTAAGCTGAACTGACTCCACACACCCCGTCTCGTCTCCAGGCTTTTATTTTACTGTTCTGTTTTAAAACATTCGGTTATGAAAAGGTACAAATAGGAACTTTTCACCTGGAGAAACTTATTTAAGGTTCACAATCGGACCTTAAAACCACTGTTGTAGCTTTGAGGGAACATTTACACTGTTTGTACCTTGATGAACGAGAAATGTACCTGAACAGAACCTTTATTTCTAACAGTGTTAAAGTAAAATACTTTTCCAAAACAAGTAAAAAAAAAAGTCCTGAGTAACTTTTAGAACTGCAGTGGGCTATTTTACTGATTTCTCCAGACATTAAAGAAGCACACTTTAGAGGACTTGGTGGTGAATTTTAGAGGAGGTGTACCCTCGTTAGTAGCGGATTTTGCCACAATCCAGCAGCAAAAGTCTAACAGATTCTCTGCGAGACTGGGGAGAATGTAAACCATGAAGGTAGAAAAAATCATATCCAAGCCAAAAAAGCAAACTTGCGATATAATGCTTGCAATATGAATGCAACTTCCCATCAAAGCTGAGCTGTTTGGACTGCTTTTGTGAATGTTTCTTCTGCATTAGCAGTGCAGGACATGGCCTAAAATTCAGCATCTTACCCAGGCCACATAAAAGGTAGAGGTTTTTGTCCACTGAAGCGTATTTGGGGAGAGGCAGTGGACAGAGGGATGTTGGACCCCTCGAGTGCTTTCTGAACTGCATCATGTGTCACTGTCAGAGTCCCACCAAAGCTCCCTAAAGCCCCATCTGCACCGGCACAGAATGCAACACTCCAAAAATAATAAGCCGCCAAACCCCGGCAGGGCCGGCTCCCCGTGCCTTTTTCCTTTTCAAGTCACCGTTTGTGCTATTTTAGTGGGGGGAACTTGACAAGCGTGCCTGTTTTCCTCCGTCTGAAAGTGCCTCTGTGTGTACAGCAGGTGCGCAGAGAGAGAGACAGGTAGAGAGAAAGAAAGAGAGTGAAACGATAAGAGAATTGGATTAAAAAAAATCAAGTGAATAAAAAAAAAAAAAGGTTTCTGCCGCTGCAGCAAGCCTCTTCCGCCTCATGGGGGTGCTGTGCGCGTTTGAGTGAGACTTCCTGCAGACTAAATTAAGCGTGGCAAATGATGCCCCCAGACAAGCCTGAATTCACGCAGGAAAGCGTCGAGCGGCCCCGGCTTTCAATCTGGAGGTTGAGGATTCGGTTTGCATTATACGTCCCTTACATACGAAACAATCTCCCTCATCTCTTTTCTGATATCAGACGGCGAAGGCGAGGCTATCAGGAGAGCCGCCGGGGTTTTGTGAGCGACACAATGGGGAGGCGTCACTTCTTTTATTGCAGGGATGAGATCCCACTCTGGCTGCCTGTCACAGAGGCACAATGGGTGACAATGCGGCACAGCCTGGTATTCTAATGTCAGCTCTTAAAGTGGATGTGCGGGCACTTTTTCATTCAGGGAGTGACAGCGACGAGCGGGAAAAGGCGCGCGTCACTCGCCGTCCGCGAGCAGCTCACCTGTAGGTGAATACGGAATGATCTACCTTTCTTTTCCAGTCTTGAGTGGCCTTCTGTCTCTTACCCTAGAAATCTCCCTATGTTTGCTGGTCTGTGTTTCTTGGGGGTGGGGGGTGGGAGGGTCGTTGGACCATTTGGCTCTCCTTGAATGTTCTGTTTCATGCTTGGTCAATACCTTGGAAATGACTCAGGGATACTGACAAGATACCATGTTGTGATTATGTTGCTGGGTCATTTTACAGAAACGTCCATTTTTGTGTCCCTAGCGTTTACAGATATATTACATCGAAAAACATGTTAGGGTTACAATTTATTTATATTTTTAAATAAAACAATGAGTTATTTGAACAATTACACTTCAGCCATCAATTTAGCAATATTGGTTTTTAAAGAATTATCTAGAATTCCAAGCACCACAGAAGAGCTCGTCCCCAGAGTCATGTGTAAAGGCTGAGGCCATATTTTGAAGAAAAAACATGTTTTTCTGCAATTTTAACTGCAATAATCTAAACATGACTATGAAACACATGAATTAAATGACATAAAGAAAACAAATGGCAAATGAATATTATAAAATATATAATGAAAGTTCCTCAGGAGTCGTGTCACTGGTGTTACCGCGTAACAAAAAATCTCTTATTTTGAAATAAAAGTCACACTGATGACATCACTCGACTTCCTTTTACCTGTTTTCTGAGGATCTATGAAGAAAAGCACATGGTGAGTCCACTGAGTCTTTCAGTTATCAGAGATTTTCTCGTTTAGCTCATGATTTCATATGAAGCTTTTAACTGAAGTCACTGGTGTGACCGACTTTATTCTGAGGTAATTGTGAAAAAATAGAATACAAATGGATTAAATTCCATATTTTAGTGGATATTACACGATTGACAACATGTGGTTTGATGCTCTGTAGCAGCCATTCTGTAAAATGCATTTTTCATTAAAAATGTCTCTGGTGTTCCCTTTATTATGTGTAACACCAATGAGGATCGGTAACACCACTGACTCCTATGGACAGATAGAAAAGTGGACGTTTCTGTAGAATGACCCTGCTACATAATTGCCCTTAATCATCTAAAGTGCACAGGTTTAATGATGCGTCTGATTCGCATGACGTGGAAACCAGCAGAGATTTGAGCGCAACTGAGTCAGCACTGGTGCGTGAAATCAAGCGCCGGCCAACCAGCACCACATTCACATATCATTCACATGACCCTACTTCATGCAGGTGTTTTGATAGGGAGCGAATAAAGGCGGAGTTTAAGGTGCACTGCTCCCCCTACTGACCAAACTTAACAGAATTAACATTATGATGACCAGAAAGAACATAATGTGAATTTAAACAAAACGTACTAGTTTCTTTTTTAAGATGGTAGAATGATGTGATTGTGTCGTGATTGTTTTCCTAAAATAACATATTTAAACACTGTATTATTGCTGCACAAGCTGTGTTTTGTATTGCAGTGCAATCTGTCTTTAAATGGAACATGGAACAGTAGCAGCCTGTTTGTGCACATAAAATAGGTACATCTTTTGTACTGTAGTCTCATATTGTTATTTTGTATTCTTATTCTAATTATTGGTATTATAGGTGATATTGATGGTACTTTTGGTTAGTTAACCTCAAATCAAGCATTTACGCTCAAATTCACACACATACCTACCAGATGTGAGATGATCATACAGATATGCCAAAGATGAAATTGATGAATAACAAAATTTGTGTGTGCTCATTTTATGATTGGATTTGTGTGCAACTTTGATGGATAAGGGCCACTGTGACTGTGATGTGTCTTACAATCTATTAAAACACCATACTGAACCCTTGCTAACTGTGATTAAGGACTGACCTGCACTGTGTTGACCAAACATTTAGTAAACTGGACTATGTGAGTGCCTTGATTCATGAAAATGCCCACAGGATAAACATCTAGAGTGTCTAAAATTAGTCACAGCATACAATAAAATGTACAATGCTATGCAAATATCTTAGGCACATAAACAAACTGTTTAAAACCACTCATCTGTGCGACATTAGAATAAATGCAAACGATAATGCAGTAGAAATGAACAAGAATTTCTTTTGTGTAAAGTAGTTAGAAGAACAAACTCTATTGATGTCATTGTTCAGAGTGAGCAGAGCTGCATTCTAATAGACAGTTTGATAAAGCTTTGCTTGGCGTCTCTGTGCTTGTGTTGATGTGCTGAGATAAACTGATACACCGATCAGGCATAACATTATGACCACCTCCTTGTTTCTACGCTCATTGTCCATTTTATCAGCTCCACTTACTATATAGGTGCACTTTGTAGTTCTACAGTTACAGACTGTAGTCCATCTGTTTCTCTGATACTTTGTTAGCCCCCTTTTACCCTGTTCTTCAGTGGTCAGGACCCCCATGGACCCTCACAGAGCAGGTACTATTTGGGTGGTGGATCATTCTCAGCACTGCAGTAACACTGACGTGGTGGTGGTGTGTTAGTGTGTGTTGTGCTGGTGCGAGTGGATCAGACACAGCAGTGCTGCTAAAGTTTTTAAACACCTCAGCGTCGCTGCTGGACTGAGAATAGTCCACCAACCAAAAATATCTAGCCAACAGCGTCCTGTGGGCAGCGTCCTGTGACCACTGTTGAAGGACTAGAGGATGACCAACACAAACTGTGCAGCAGCAGATGAGCTATCGTCTCTGACTTTACATCTACAAGGTGGATGGACAAGGTAGGAGTGTCTAATAGAGTGGACAGTGAGTGGACACTGTTTAAAAACTCCAGCAGCACTGCTGTGTCTGATCCACTCAGACCAGCACAACACACACTAACACCACCGCCACGTCAGTGTTACTGCAGTGCTGAGAATGATCCACCACCCAAATAGTACCTGCTCTGTGAGGGTCCATGGGGGTCCTGACCACTGAAGAACAGGGTAAAAGGGGGCTAACAAAGTATCAGAGAAACAGATGGACTACAGTCTGTAACTGTAGAACTACAAAGTGCACCTATATAGTAAGTGGAGCTGATAAAATGGACAATGAGCGTAGAAACAAGGAGGCGGTCATAATGTTATGCCTGATTGG